ATCTTGTTCTTTCCGTCACTACTCAAAAGTCATGATTGTAGGTGAGGGGAAGGATGTGAATCACCTGGTAAATCGTCAGTTTCGCTTTAACGCTCAGCTCTCTCGGACCAGTGACAGTGTAGCATCCTTATCACTCCAGCTGCAGCACCAATCCGTCTGTCCATTTCCCGCTCACCTTTCCCCTCACTTGAGAGCAAGACCCTGAGATATGTTCAAACTTAAAGATGTCCACAAGTACACCTGGCACCAGGTGTCCCGACTAGCAGGGCAAGCTGTGTGGAGTTTAATGAAGGACCCAAGATGCAGGCAGCTTTCAGATGCAAGTGAGTTTTATTAGGGAGGTGAAATAAATAGAAACGCAGTAGGCATGAAACAGAACCCGAGGATAACCTAAACGGAAGAAAACTAACAGCAACAGCCCTGAAAAGGAGATGCAGGGAGACTCGGGGAAATACACAAACAAACCTGCAGAGCACACGAGAAAACACACACAGGGCAATCAGGGAAGACAGGAGGGAGACACGACTGGGATTAACTGGACATAACAAGACAAGGGGAAGCAAAACTACAAACACTGACAAGAGAAACAGACCTTCAAAATAAAACAGGAAACACCCCAACAAAACTCTAAACACGCAAACTTAACACAGACTGGGGAGACAGAACATAGGAGCATGAAACATGGAACAGGAGAGCACAGAGGACACAAAACACTAGGGATAATTACAAACAGCCCAAAATAAACAAAACCACAGAATATTAATAAATTTAAACATGAACACGGAGTCCACAGACTCCGGACCAGGACACCAGGACAGTTTGAATGTGGATATCCTGGAATGAAAGCTGCAGTACTGTGCTGTAAAACTGAGTGTCTGCACATTATGCCCATGTCCATTTTAAAGCTATAATTGGAATATGCTTCAGTGAACAGTTAAAAAACAAAACTTTTATCAGTGTCCAAATATATATAGACCTAACTGCTCATAGACACTGATTATAGCACAGGTGTCGAACTCCAGGCCTCGAGGGCCGGTGTCCTGCAGGGTTTAGATGTGTCCTTGATCCATCACAGCTGATTTAAAGGGTTAAATGACCTCCTCAACATGTCTTGCAGTTCTCCAGAGGCCTGGTAATGAACTAATCACGTGATTCATGTGTGCTGACCCAGGGTGAGATCTAAAACCTGCAGGACACCGGCCCTCGAGGCCTGGAGTTCCCCACCCCTGGATTATAACATCACATCTTAAAAAACTCCATACAAGCTTCCATTGGTACTGCAGTTCCTTTCTCGGCACCCTATCACAGGGCTGCTATCGATTTCTATTTCTATAACTGATTCGAGTCAGATTCACAAAGTCGTGAGTTGATTCAGTTTTGACTCAGACAGAAATATCACATAGATATAAAAATGTGGATACGTATAAACCAAAGCTGACACTGTGAGACTTCATCAGAGGTGTGAGCATCGCAGCAGAGGCCTTTGTGTCAAAGTAACTGAGGATAAAACACAGAAAAACATGAAGGAGATTCTCCTCACTTTTTATAGCAGATAACCTTGAAAATATTCTGCAGTAGAACAAAAACTTAAGAAAATCATGAATCAGCAGGTGAGCGTTACCTGATGCTGCTGAGGTGACAGAGGTTTGATTAGAGACACAGCTAAGAGTTTTGCAGTCTGGCATCATTTTAAAAAGTTTACATTTCTTCGGTATTGAACAGCAGAAATGAGAAGTTCTTGTCAGAAGCTGACAGCACTAAACACAAGAACTGTGAGATGACCCAAAAGCTTGATTCTGTTCATCTGGATATTTTCAGTGGGAGAAACGTTTCATCATCATCAGGTGACGTCTTCAGTCTCAGCTGACTGCAGGTTTCAACCTTATAAACAGGACATTTGTATGACTGAAACCAGCCCAGGAACAATGGGCTGGAAGGTCAGCTCCTTCATCATTAGTATGCAAATTGTCACGATCATAGATCAACAACCTCTAATCAAAGATCACTGATCAAAGACCATCAATCAATGATCATGGTCGTTCTGTGGTGCATTATGGGTAATCTCGGCTTCTCACTGAGCATGCTCCTGTGATTGCCCAGCATGTCATGGAGTGGGTGGGAGGTATTGTCCAGTATTGTCTTTATCTTGGACAACATCCACCTCTCAGACACCACCCTAAGGGAGACCAGCTCCCCCCC